CCATGTAACGTCAGTGTTCTGTCATAATGAGTGAGCTGTCTCCCGCGACAGTCGCGGTGAATCTGGGATCTGTGACCTCACATAAATGTGATGGAGTGATCGGTTTTCCAGCCAGCAGTTGGTGAAAATTTGCGGTTATTCTGATAAATGAGGCCCCGGCAAGCCGCTGTTTATTCAGCAATCGACATACCACAGAGAACAGGAACTAACTGAATAACAACTTCGCATCAAAACGACGAAGGTACGACTATAGTTTGGCAACTCAGCTGCTTGTATGGCAATATTATTGTCCAATGAATAATGTATTGAGAAATTATTGAACTCGAGGGCTCATTAGATCTGGGTGTATTTGAAACCTGCCTTTGATTTGAATAATTTACCATAATATCGCAGGATATTTTTGCGTGATATTAAGTACGCTAGGCAAAAACAGTAAAACTTATTTGATTACCCCCGCTATTTAAAAGACGCATCCAAATAACAATTCATAAAGTTTTAATTTTTGGAACTCTTTGTACTTGTATACTTGAACAATTTTGTACTTGTTACATGCCTCGCCCACTTGGCTGCGTTGCCATGATCATCAGTTTTCGTTGACGGTTTGGCTTAGCCCCTTGTTTGTGTCGCGAACTTTTCGATCATCTTTGGAGTGATCTTAATGATATAACTGATACCTAAATGGACACTGAACAATGGACATACCTTTACGTGACTCACCCTACAGTAAAGGGATATTTGCGGGCTGAGCCTTTAATACCACTATGACCAGTGTCAATGTTTGACGAAATAATTTAACCCTTCTTGAGAGATAGCTGACAACTGATTCCAACAGACAGCTGAAATTGTAGCAATGTGCTATTCTACAGGCCGGATTGAAGTCTTGTCCAATTTCAGAGCAAATAACTGACCTACGACATCATGCAGAAACTATCCATAGATCATATCGGGCTTATCCGACAGGAATATTGGTCATCTGCTGGGGCGACAAGGCGCTGAAATCATTTCGGAGGATCACTGTGGGGCTGATCTGGTGGGGTAATCATTTCTGCGGGTCGGATCTATGGGGATTGACGGCAGGAAACGGGAACCGGAAGGCGATCCACAGACGGTCTGTCGGTGGGAGAGGGGGAGGAGGGGGTGAGGTGGGGGTGGAGCATGGGGGGGGGGGGGGGTGATGAGCCGGTGGTGAGGAAAGGAAGAGTGACGGGATGATGGAGAGAGTAGTGGTGGAGCAAATACGCACAGCAACGTGCCACCCACCCCACCCTTTGTGCTTGATGGATTATCGGTATTCCACAACTACTTCGATCTTAGGGTGCTATGGGTGCTATAACCACCCCTAAAATCATCGAAATTGAAAGAAAACAAAACGATGTCATTTTTTCATCCCGACAGTTGTCTCCTCAGTATCTTAAAGGTTGTCCGAGTTGTCCGGACAGTTTGAGTCAAACATTTTTTTTTTGCCTGGTCAAACGTGACTTGTTGCTGATAGTTCCTTCCAACGGCAGCCCGAATCCTATTACTCCTCCGATCTCTGTTCTCATTGTTTATAAGGATCCGTTAACCACTTTGCCAAAGTTGCTGTGCTTTGAGCTGGAGCTACGCAGAAGTTGAGGGATGAAATCAATATGATGCCCCTCCTCGCCTCGCTGTCGGTCAATTGAGCAACCGAGCGAGGCCACCCGAGAGCCGGCGGACCGGCAGCGGTCTCCACTACCCTTTTCTGGCTCATCATTCAACCCACCATGTCTGAAACCTGAAAGCCACGGTTAATAAATCGCATTACTCGGCAGACTGTATGAAATCCATCCATCTTCAGACGAGAGTCGCTGGCGAATCGGCGATTGTGCGGCGATCTTCAAGGAAACAGGTTTCTCATTTCAGAGCTCAAATGGCTCGGACTAGAAACTTGTCTCGTCTTCAAGAGGGTTCAATTTTGTTCGTTATATTGCATCTTTTACACCTGATAATCATCATGACGCAATACATATGTCCAGAAAAATTATTCCGAATAAAATGAAAATATGTCAAAGTATAATAAAAATGACCATTCAAATTTTTCTTTCTACCTTTTCTGCATAAACTAATACTAGAATGAGCTTAAAGTGATCAAAGCAGGGAAGATACAAGATAGGTACGACAAAATTCAATTTAACAAACTTATCAAAATTAATAAGGACTCGTTCCGAAGAAACTGACAAATACCTTCCCGGACGGACACAGAGACATTAGACGCAGGGAATTGCAAACAAGAACATGATGAATATTTAACCAAGAAAGCTTTTTTTCTTATTTCATTATTTGCCTTATGGACGCCTGTCTCAGACTCTTCAAAGTTAAGTAAGTTGGTGTACGTTTTTATTGCTCCTGTTCTTTAAGCCATGCACTCGTTTCCTTGTTCTTGTAAATACTTGTTTTGCTTTTGAGATCTTTCATGCACTTGTTACAAGCTATTGTTGTAATTGTATGCACCTAATTGCCGTATTCCACCTTAAGTACCACCTCCGTTGGACAGTCACCGAGCCAAACTGCCTCATCTGGTCTCTGAATGAGGGCCACATAGCTCAAAGCTCATCTCTCTTTGTCACACCGGCTAAACTGACAACCACAAGCCCAGACGGTCCTTTCCGCTCCGTCTGCCGGTCTTTCAATGAATGATCTCATCCTTTGATCGATGACTATGCGCCCCTGGAGATGACTCATTCGATGACAAATTTTGTCCGACGAACGTCGCCGGCGACGGAGCGGCGCGAGCGTCGAAGGCGACTTTGTCGGCAGTGCTGGGGGGGGGGGGGGGCGGTCTCCGCGCTGTCATAACGCATGGCGGCTGCTGAATTTCCATAATTCAGCCACCAGTGTTGGAATGTGACACATCAGTGCTGATTGGGGATGAGCTGGGAGAATTATGGGCGAGTGGCGACGGTTTGTTATACACACGGTACTAGCCTAACCAGTCGGGTGCTCTCGGATTGGTTTGAAAAGCCATGAAGTATTTCTGTATGTAAAAATGCTGCTCAAGTGAATTTGTCTTCTACATAATTTGGTATGTGTAAATTGCCAAAATAAAACAACGACTTTACCTATTTTTGAGAAAGGAAATATCAATAGACCTCCGTATGCCAACCTCAGCATACAGATGTCCATGTAATATCATATAAAATTTTGATAGGATAAATCGATGATAATATCACTTTATTCAACCGCATTATGTGAAAGGGCTTAGTGCAAAAATATGTGACGCTATACCAAACAGCTCCATTTCTATTTCATAACCCCCGAGTTGCTTTATAATTCCTAGACTCTGTTTACTCACAGCTCTTTGCATCCCATTCGTTAAAATAACGATCATAAATGATCTCTCAATTTGTGACCTTCTCCCGTAATGACACCATCTACCGGCTCACATGGAAACTGCCTCAGCTCCGCTCTCCCGTCGGCTCTCCTGAGGCCCGTGTGCGCTGTTTCCCTGAAACTCAGCCACCATCGGACGGTTGGAGGCGGACTGACCCCCCCCCCCCCCCCCACCAGTGCCCGGGGGCTGAATGATCCAGCGCTTTTCGCAGCTGGCGCCCCCTCCCCCCACCCCAGCGCCAGAGGTCAACACTCGACCTTTAACACCCGTCCGACTCAAAGCTAATGGTGGGCGAGGTCAAACGACTGGAAAATACAGGGTCAGTGATCCAAACGACTCATGGTTGGAGGCCTGAAACGACTATGGGCTGGTCGAGTAGTGACTAAAATTCAGCCACAAAATGTCATATTCCCAGCCCAGTGACACATCCTCTTGAACTTTTGAATCGGAGAGGCGTTTAAACTTCGAGTATCTACCGTGAACTGTTCAGTGAAGGCCCTTTCATTCTTTGGTGAATGCTTTGTTGGCAGCTATTTCATTTTAATTATAAGTATCACAAACACATTTTTTCGTCAAAGGTAGCAGAACTTGTTCTGTGTTCACAATTCACATGTTCTGACGATGGAAAAGGAAATAAATTCAAGGCATATTAAGAGCCCCTATATGCGTTTCCGCGTAGGCATTGGTGGTGCTAACATTTCACGTTGGACCTTGATCGAGGATATTGGCGCAACGGGGCGGGTTCCAGCTGTACGCTCAGAACTTGGTGGACAACTTTCATTGAATGAGTTAGCGTGTTTCTTTGGAACCATAGACCGTTCGTCGATATACCTAATTAAACGTTTCGTGAGTACGGTGACCCGCAGTTGCTACTGTACACGAACTCCAACTCTAGCCGTCTGTCCTGTCCAGTAACAACCGATAACATTGATATCGACTGCCGGTCCCTGTACAAGAGCAGCTGAGATTTTCTGTGCGTGCCCTCTGGCAGCTTATCGTTGTTCCCTGTGAGGGTGCTGGGACAATTTGCTCAGGGTCGCTGTACAGTAGCAACTGCGGGTCCCCGTACCTCTACCTTTATTGTTGTATGATAATAACATATCCCATTGCAGGAAAAATTGTTAGAAATTCATCAAAATTAGGCCAAAATTTATCCGTAATATTTGACACTTATAATAAAATCATTTTTATTCATTCTTGTTTATCAGTGTTTTGTTATATACGGCGGTGATATAAATCGTTTTATTTCCTTGGCAACTTGGTCATAAAAAATAAATCCTACTTTCTGATTACGCCTATTCAGCGTAGCGGATTACGAAATGGTAGGTGGCATGACAGGATTTTTTTCCATTCAAACACACTCTGCCCCTTGCCATCAAATGACTGAGCAAACAGTCCAGCTAGATCCATACCTCCCCCTTCCCTATCCAGGCTATTGGTGCAGTTGGTGCCAACGGGAAGTACATTTGTGAAACACGGATATAAGAAAGTCGTAAAAATAAATGAATATGGCCCACGACCAGATGTGATTCCGTTATCCGTGTGTGCGTATGGTACCATATAAAAAACACATTTTCTCGGCAAAATCAATGATCCCCATGATAACCATATCAGTCACGTTACTGTATCACCGATCAAAACACGTTAATATCACTCCCATTATTCTTAGCCGTAAAATGTTGGACAAAAGTTCGCCGGCATTCGGCATCATTTCGTAGACCCTGAAGTCAGGTCTAGACTCTAGTACACGTAAGACGCCACCGGTAACAACAATAAGTAACAGTACCATAAAATCTCATTGTACCTGAAAACAGGTCACACATGTCCAACTCGGAGATATAAAACCACAGCGCGACCCTAAGGCACCTCTAACCCCTAAAAGACCCTAAGTGACCCTAAGTGACCTCCCTGCTGTTACTCAAATATGGCACGGACGAACAGTTGCACAGTTCCCAACAAACAAACAGTTCCCAATGGTGCACCGTCCGGTGCAAATACTGTCGCAAGAAACATCACACTTTATCCACCAAAATAGTGTAGGTACGGATACGCACTCCAACAAACATTCTCTCTTGCCCACCTAACCCATCGTTTTATAGAGCTCATAGTACATCCCCTTCTTTGCTAGCAACTCCTGATGGGTGCCCTGCTCCACCGCGCGGCCTCTATTAACCACCACGATACAATCCGCTCCCTGAATGGTGGAAAGACGATGCGCTATCACCAGGCAGGTTCTCCCATTAGCGGCGCGGTCCAGAGCCTGCTGCACCACCTGTTCACTCTGCGTATCCAGCGCGGATGTCGCCTCGTCCAGCAGTAGAATAGCCGGCCGGCGTACCAGCGCGCGCGCGATGGCCACGCGCTGCTTCTGGCCGCCGGAGAGCTGGGTGCTGCTGCTGCTGCCCAAGCGGGTGTCATAGCCGGCCGGCAGGCTGGTGATGAAGCTGTGGATGTTGGCGTCTCGAGCGGCCTCTATGATCTCCGTCATCGGTACCTCTCGGCTGTGGACATGTGGTGAGTGACGGGGTTGGCTTTATTTCTGAACACGGTCAGCTAACAAGGGCCAGGTCCAGCAACCGTTAGCTAGACGGCGAGGGCTTACGGCTCACTGGCCGCCTTAAGAATGGCCTGATATGCAATTACAGCTCATTTCCACATTTATTTGCTGGCTGGTATGTTCTTTTATTTTGTATTGGACAAGGCAACATCGTGAGAAATGTTCTACAAATGTGATAATATGATTCATTTATATTCAATTTCAAATAAGAAAAAGGCGCCTTAAAATCTTTGACTTGGCTTCCCATTACCATACATCCCATTTCCTTGACCTGGCTTCCCATTACAATACATCCCATTTCCTTGCTTCTTCCATTCTCTCACCTGTTGTCCCCGTATGCTATGTTCTCGGCGATTGTCTTATCGAAGAGGATCGGCTCCTGAGAGACGATGCCGATCTGGAACCGTAGCCAGCCCAGGTGGAGCGAGGACACGCTCTGGCCGTCCACACTCTATAAGAAGAATAGATGAGTTGGTCTCCCAGACGAATAAACGATATAACCCACTTAGTGCTCACACAACCCATTACGTTCCCATATAACCCACCACGTTCCCATGTAACTCACCACGTCCCCATACAACCCACACCGTCTCCATATGACCCACCAGTTCCCCATATACCCCATCAGTTTTCCCACATAACTCACCAGTTCCCCACATAACCCGCTTGTTTCCTATATAACCCACCACGTCCCCATAAAACCCACACCGTCCTCATATGACCCACCAGTTCCCCACATAACCCGTCATGTCCTCATATAACCCACACCGTCCGTATATAACCCACCACGTCTCCTCGCTCCGGATCGTAGAGCCTCTGCAGCAGCTGAACACAGGTGGATTTTCCGCAGCCGGAGGCGCCGACCAGTGCCACAGTTTGGCCCGGCTGGACCTTCAGGTTGAGGCCGCGCAGAACGGTCACCGCCGGGCGACTGGGGTAACGGAACTGTACGCCGTCCAGACTGATGGAGCCGCTCAGTCCCGGCTGTGCAGGTCAGGTCAGGTCAGGTCAGGTCTGGGATCAAATCAGGTCAGACAGATCAGCCGCAGTATCACAAAATTTGTTGAATTGGGTGCAACCTGACATCCAAATGAAAATTATTTTGCACTCCCGTCCCCATTTTAAGAGCTATTTCCAACTCCCAATTTTACTGACAGGAAGCATTTGCGTTGCTGGTCGTTTTGCATCCTGCAATCTGTCACAGTTGCATATAAATGTTCGCCATTGATCCCTTTTCCATTCTTTTTGGAGCTTATGTGAGTGACAATTTTCCACTCTTATCCCCCTTTTGGGCGAGCCATTTTCCCCTCTGACACCCAAGCCAAAATACAATTTTGGGACACTGATCAGGCGAGGGCGGGGGTCACGTGTCCGTGTTTTTGCGTGCTGAAATAAATTTCCATAGAATAACACAAAACTGAACCCTTAATAGGACCAGACGATGCTAGGATAACAATAAGACTTGTAAAACAATAACCAGTATAACGCCTTTTGGGGCGATCAACGGAGCGAGCGAGAGGGTGGGCCTTGCACGTGCGAAATTTTGAGGGGTTACCTCCAACTGACTTGTGCACAGCACTTTACTCACATACCTATACAAACAGGCAGACAATCAGCGAACAGTTCGAATGTAATCCCTCATTAGCCCACACACTACTTATGACATGTTTCAAATTCACTTGACAACTAAAACCCGTAGTTAAATCCAGTCAGCGCCTATTTTTGTATGCCTGATCCACGGCTCACCAGTTTGGTTCCGGTCTGGGTGGAGCTGTCGATGGTCGGTTTTCGGTCCAGCAGTGCGAACACTCGTCTGGCCGAGATGAACGCCTTATTTATGTCCGGTGAGAAAGCTACGGAGGCACCGATCTCCATGGTACCGTATATCAAACCCTCCGTGATCCTAAGGGTTCACGGAGAACAACACATGTTATGTTAATCGCTAATGAGAAAATGGTAAGCATTAAGTCACATCCTAAGAGTATGTTAAGGAGTGGTTGGTTATAAAAAAGCAATGCTGAGTATGAAAATAATAGACATAACTAAGGCCAAGTTTCGTGGCATTATTCTTTCACAGTCTTACATTGTTTGATTGTTTTGTTGGGTTAGGCCCTTTCGGTCTGACAAGACCATTTCAGAGCCGGAAGGATGATAGGAATTAGGGGAGACATTGGTCTGGGCAGGCACCCTAGAGAGTCGCCGGGGCTGAGCCCGTCCAAATGGACAGGCCGACCAGCCCCCCAAGCACTCTCTGCACCCGGCTACGGGGTGCGCTCCCTCGGGAGCAACGGTGCAGTTCCAAGGGAGCAGCCCGCATGAGATAAAGTTGCCTGTCCAGCCCGGAGGGGGTTGCGGCGTTGGGGAGAAGGATTTCAGTATCCTGAGGATAGAAGCACGGAGCGGTGAGTCTTACATTAAGAGGTGTGAGTAGGGTATAGTGCCGTCGATGATCAGGTGCTTTCCGATTGCGAAGACGATGGCCTGGGAAACAGCCGGGGCAGTCTGGGCCGCCCCGTACACCAGACCTGTTGGGTACAGAGAACAAATGTGAGTACAGGATGACACTAACGTCCAGGCAGGAGCAGTAGTGCTGCCGCCTACACCATGACTCAGTAGACAGATACGGAATGTATGAGAGCATTCGAGTGTCGGGAGATTGTGCTGCCACCTACCCCAGACCTGCGAGGGCCAGAAAAACAGAGCTGGAGCAGGGATCAGTGTACGCGGCTTGAGGCTGTACCCATGAGCTTATCCCCCAGGGATGTAACTAGTCAGCTGAGCTATTCGTGAAAGACGGACCTGACAACTGTTTTGGGATATCAATGAGAGAAGAAACGTGCATAGCCTGTCGTAAATATAAAACAGATAACTACACTTCTTAAAATGCCGGTCCGGACGAGGCCCAATGCAGTCTCGTAAGCATGATATCTCTGTACACTGTAACAAATAAACCCCTTCCCTTACCTCTAAGGAACGCACGCTTCATGTACTTGCTATGCGTCTTCTTCAGCTGCTCTTCATATCGGTCAGCGAACATGTTTTCCAGCCCGAGGCTGGCCACAGTGCGGACATTGGAGATGGCCTCCACCGCTATCTGTGAACGATAGATCACTGATCAGACATGGGTGAATACAAAATCACTGCATATAGTCGATTCGTATACTGCTGTGAGACGGGTTAAATAATATTCCCTAGTTGGCAAAAGAGTTACGCTTGTTCGTACTTCGTACCCATTATTAGGGGAAAAATGTGCCTTCGCATAGTATTTTCACTATTTTCATCGTCTCATAGTGTTGAATTCATAGACGTCCATATCTTGCGAACTACATGATAATGAAAAAGACAGACTCTTATTCCGAAAGAATACTTGCTAAGCTGCAACCACCCACGGTTCCTTCTTTCCACAGAACTGCCCGTCTGACCCATATCGATATCCTCTTTCTGACCACTAAACCATCCCAACGAACACCGGTCGTTTTCATTCCTCACCTGGTTGCCACTCTCCTGATCGGACTTTTCCTTAGCCATGCTCTCAGATGTCAGTCTGCTCTCGACATACGTCCCCAGCACACAGAGCGGCACAAACGGCAGAGCCGCCAGCGCCAGTTGCCAGCTCAGATAGAAGGCCATGCCCAGGGCGAGGAAGAGAGTAAACACAGCCTGGGTCATGTTTCCAAGCCGGGTGCCGGTTGCCTGAGAGGGGAGGTGGAGAGGGAGGGGGGGGGGGGTTACTGAATTGGTACTGGCCGGGTCAGCGCTCAGCCAGTTTAATTGAGAATGTAGGGCACAGCGGTATGATGTTGCTCGGCTCTCTAATGTTACGTGGTCTCATTAGAACCGGAAGGGTCTACGACAACAACACAAAACCCACACAACAAACAAACTGTACCTACGTTTTCCCTCATTTTCTGCACATTCACTCTGACTCTGACTCACGCCCTGTACGCTGGATGCATCACTGGAGAGTCGTGAACACAGCACACCGACAGTGTGCCGCGAGTCATCAAAATAGGCCGCCTCCTGTCTCAGCAGCGCCTTGAACGTCAGCTTCCTGATCCGAGTGGTGAGCCTCTCGCCAGCCACGCCGAACATAAACACCTACAAAAGAGCGGGGCACAGCGCAACACTGTTTAGAGGGTGCAGATAAGTTACTTAGGTGCCTATAATAGTACTGTGCTGCAGAGAAAAGAACGTTCATAACAAAACCTGCTCCTGGATGTGGGGCATGATGTTCATTATTGGATCGCACGCTGCAGCATGCATGCATGCATGCATTGCATTCGTCCTGCGATGTTACTGAAAATAGCATGTCCTGATGATGGCTAGCACAAATAATGCCTTGATTGTTCAATGATTACATGTTTCAAAATGCCATCCTCCTCACACATAAACCCATGTCGGAGGACATATCGTTACCTGTGCGAACGAGGCTAGGAAGGTAATAACTCCGATACCGAGGAAGAGCAGACCGTAAAACTGAGCGTTGTCCACCGCTTCGTCCGGATCCTCCACCGCGAGATTCTGAAAACAGGTTGGATATGATTATGTGAACTGGTGTTTGAGGACTCCACTAGCGATGACACCAGACCAAAAAAAAAAAAAAACGATGACAACTTCAACGGACAGATCAGACATGGACAGAAAATGAGTATCGACGTGAAAACCCTTCAAGCATGTTTGGTATCAATGGAAAGGGTCTTTTCTTTAAATCGTTTAAAGTGCCTACTTGATACCATGTCCAGGACCATATGTATAGTACCTGGCGCATTACAACTGGCCCCAACATGCGACCCTGAGCAACACTCACACCAAGAACGCCTCCAAACACGACAGCGTGGGCGGGTACGGAGCCGCCCATGATGGCGGCTCCGACCACGCCGAGCAGCAGGTAGGGCCACTCGGAGCCGTTCAGCCGCAGCAGCCTCCAGGCCGACACCGGCTCACCCTCGTCTTCCTCCTCAGTCTGTCCTCCTGCACCACCGGATTTCTGAAGAGAGAAAACGGGGAGATTTTACATTGGACTGATTGAGTGGGCACTGTGCACCTCAGGGCATTCAAAGAGGGCTAGGGGGTAATCTGTCGGGAGCCGAGGGTCGCCACTTTAGAATTACCCTTCCTCAGGACTTTGCGGAGGAAAACAACAACAAAGGGACAACAACAAATCAAAAGAAGAAGAAAAAAAAACGTTTATTAACCCTCGCCCATGTAGCAACCCCCCCTGAGGTTTTTCTTAGCTACACGCCGAACCGTTTTAGATAGCCTGCTCAAATTTTCAGTACCCTTTGGAGCATCCTTTGCGCAACTTTCGGTATTTTTTTTTTTGTCAAGGTCATGTCAGGTCACGGAGTTATGACGTCATAAAGGGAACAACCTCCGGCCAGATTTACGCTAAATTGGAGATTGCTTCACATTGGTATAAATGCCGACTGACCTGACACACTGATGGATTGTTTTAGAATCACAACTGGCTGATTTGACATTGGCACAATGTCCGTTGACATTTTGAAGGTTACTAAAGGTCAAGGTAAGGTCAGTGACCTCGGTTGACCTGTAATGACTTCTTGCACTTGTATGCCTTTTCGGGGTATTTTGATGCCCTGAATTCGAATTTGCTATCCATTTCAGGCATCGTCGGTTGTTTCTTGTAGTTCATTTTGGGTCAGGGTCAGGTCAGTGACGTCACACGCCTGACGTGACCCAATGCACAAATGACCTTGCAGACTTCCGATGCTCCCAACGCATCATTTTTAGAGTTATGACATCGAAATACACACCAAACGATAGACAATTGATCAAGGATCACGATGGTGAAGGTTTCAAGTCGATATCTCTTACCGTTTTGCCGCAATCGGCGCAGAAATCTGAAAAAGTTAGATTTTTCCGAAAACTTGACCTTTGACCGGTCATAAGTAGGTCAAATGTTGACCTAGGACCAAAAAATATACCACCAATCGCGAGATCTCGTTGAGAGCAATCCGTTGGTCTTTTCCGCTAAGCTCTACGACGCTCCGTTTTCAAACGCCAGGGGGGTCGCACCAACCCCCCTGCATGGGCGAAGGTGGCAAAACACCGTTTACGGGCGAGGGTTAAACATCACTGTTTTGTGCAAAAACCAGCATTTTGATTTAGGTTCACCCACGTCCTGCACGCTGACAAACAGATTCTACCGACCTTTCCTCCGGCCATCGGATGGAAAATCCTATCATAAAAACATGCGATCACATAATTTCCACCCTCCCACCCTCGCCGACAAGGCCGAACGTAATCAAAGCTCCCAGGGGCTCTCGTAGTGCCATATATGACTCTCTGATAGTATTACCATTTACCTGCCCTGTCTAGCTAGTAACAGTTGAATCAGCGCGGCAGTAGCATAGGCCACGATCTGATGTCCTATCCGCCCTTGAGTGACACATGCGGTGCTAAAAGAGTAACGAAAAACAACTCTATGTGGGCGCGGCTGACTGGTTAACTAATTATTAAAATGAGCATTAAGACATCCAACAAACGATGCAAAAATCCACGCATCCAAGAAGGTGAGCATGAATTTCTCGGGATATCCTGTCGAAGTAATATACCGAACACGGAACAAATAAAAGCCTAACTCCCTCCCTTCTTTTCACCAAGTCATCATCTATTTTAGCTGAGGAATTATCTCACCTTGGCGGTTTTTCTGCGCTTCTTTTTGGAGGCCGGGCGGACGACAGTCACGGCGGTCGAGTCCCCGTTGACCTCTGATCCGATATGGTGCCCGTCACTGGGGTGTGAGCCGGACGACAGAGTCCTCAGACGGGTGATATCCGGAATGGAAGGACGCCTCAGGGCGGGAAGGTGGAAACCATCTGTAGAAGTGGGAATGTTGTGAAACAGAAGACGATTAAAAACCAACAATACATATATGCAATCATTAATACCACATGGATACATAGTTGATGCAATCAAATCACACATTGCTATGCAATCATTGCCGATGAAGGAAACGCTCATTTTTTATATGGTGTGCCTTCTTTAACGTTATAAGCTGATAGTAACAAAACATATGTGTTCATACATCAACACAGTCAAAATTATCAGCGTCCCCTTCCCAGAAAGTGATCCTAAAATGAAGCAAAACGCCAACCATAACAAAGTAAGCGTTCTGCTAAAATGACCACTACTCCCCTCACCTTTATCCTCCACCATATCTTCCACCACATCCTCCTCCTCCTCCTCTGCCTCCTCCTCTACTCTTTCCTCTGCAGCCTCTTCCTCCTCGCCTCCGCCGGTGATCTGTGACGTCACCAGTCCGTGGTACAGGCCCTCGTTCTTCATCAGCTGCTCGTGGGTGCCCGTCTCCACCACTCGTCCATCGTTCAAAGCGATGATGACATCAGCACTTCGAACAGTAGAGAGACGATGGGCCACGACGATTGTGGTGCGGCCCGACCGAGCCTGGAAACAAGGGTGTCGAGTGTAATCAGACCAGAAGACAAGTTGGTGTTTAGAGTGCGGGGATAAAAATCAAATTAGCGTGACATATAGCAATGACTGGGTATTTCCCAACATGCTTTGGGCTGCAAAGCAACCGTTGACACCGTATTCACGATCAATGTACATACGATCTTTGGGAGAGGGTCACGGTTCAGCAATATCAAGAGGCACTACATGATAATGCTGTGAAATATCTGTCGCCTTTTTAGCAGAGACAGCCTGCGACTACTTGCTACAACCTCTAGACGACTTTAACTCTATTTATGGCCATTTTTGGTGGCTACTTACATAGGCGGCGGAACGGGGAAGCACCGGGGCACCGTGCCCACCTTGATTTTGCCATTTTAACATTAGCTCTATGGGCGTTGCATGGAAAGAATGGGACCAAAAGTCGGCAGTGCCCCCCCCCCCCTTAATTGAAGGTATTCCGCCGCTACTGGTTACTTACCCTATCTAGTGCAAGCTGGACCGCAGCCTCGCTTTGCAAGTCCAGTGCCGAGGTGGCTTCATCCAGCAGAAACACGCGCGGGTTGCGCACGAGCGCACGTGCAATGGCGATTCGCTGCTTCTGTCCCCCACTCAACTGAGCGCCCTTCTGTCCGACCATCGTGTCAAATTTGAGCGGAAGCTCTTGGATGAAGTCGTAGGCATTGGCTTGGCGAGCAGTCTGTTGTAAAATGTAAAGACATGCGGGGTCTGAGTTAGTCAATCAAAGGCTGAGTGGTAGAGCGTGTTAATATTCAGGTGATGAAGTATTCAACGGCGAAATGTTTGGTGTAAGCAAATCGGGAAGCGGAATGCTTGGTGGCAACGGTACATTTACAGCTGACGTACCTTTTTGTATTTATGCACTACATGAACTGTGTAACAACACCGTGAATGTGATGCTAGAGAGGTGAAATATGCTAAATAGGAAGTTGACAATTATACTACCGCAGTTATTGCAACTTCTTAGAAATATAAATGCAAGATAGAAACGAATACCTTATACGTTTTCTCTCCATTGTATCTATGCAAACCTGAATCTACTTCAAACTACATCCATCCCACCGCCCCTGGACCCTGCAGCTCAACAACCACCAAACTCGCATCACGGACCTCCTCAATATCCTTCATGGAGCAGTCGGGTCGGCCGTAGCGGATGTTCTCAGCGATCGTGGTACCGAACAGTACCGGCTCCTGCGAGACGACACCGATCTGACGCCGCAGCCAGGCCACCTTAAGCTCGCGGACATCACGGCCGTCCAGCAGGACCTGGCCAACAAAACATCCGAACACGTGGAGAATTAGAATCGATCAGCCCATCTAAGAAAGAGAATGCTAAAAGAAATAAATAGCTGCATACACACTTTCTACCATCTTCTGAGAATGCATTCCCTCCATCAACTATACATATATCTTCGACGAAGATCAGAACGCTGCAAGGCAACTGACATACTCTGTACCCTAGTGTGAACTGTCAACAAAACAAACTGTTCGCGGTCTTTGACCAGCCGCCGGGCTCATATCGGTGAGCGTCTAACCTCTCCTTGCTCGGGGTCGTAGAAGCGCTGGATCAGCTGGACACAGGTGGACTTTCCGCAGCCCGAGGAGCCCACCAGAGCCACTGTTTGCCCGGGTCGAACAGCGAAACTGATGCCTTTCAAGACCTGCCGACATATGATAAACAAACACGGTGATGATGTGGCGGATAAGTGTGGAGAAATTGGCAGTGGGGCTTCACCAAACGGGAGAGAGCAATACGCAACTATAATGCTAGGGAAAAATAGCACTCAAAAGCTTCGGGTATGATATTTATTCCGTAAATTTTTCTTTCGTTACGTATTATTTCGTGACTGATGATCAATAACTGGTGTCTTTTATCGCAAGTATCATACACACCTGGGGTCTATGGCCCTCACCTTCAGACCAGTATAACGCCTTTTGGGCCACTAACGGAGCGAGCGAGAGGGTGGGCCTTGCACGTGCGAAATTGCGAGGGGGTACCTCCAACTGACTTGTGCACGGCACCCTACTAACCGTTCTATAGCGATGTGCCAAATTTGAGCACAATCGGTCCAGCCGTTCTTGAGATCTGGAAGCGGCACCCTGTACGTGTGCACGTGCAAAATGGGTCCCAACTGACTTGTGCACGGCACCCTACTAACTGCTCCGTAAACGTGTACCAAATTTGAGCGCAATCGGTCAAGCCGTTCTCGGTATCTGGAATCAACCCCTGCACGTGCGCACGTGCAGCAGCACCCCAACTTTGGCACATGGATATGCATTGCCTAGTGGGTGCCTACCTACATGCCAACTTTCAGCGCAATCGGCCCAGTAGTTACCGATATATTGCAACTATTACTTCATTTTGCACGCGGCACGTGCATAAGGGGTCACCCACATAATCGGGAATAGCCCAATACTTGGTAGAAGGAATGAAGCTACCCTACAAAAATTACCGCACGTAAATCGGTCAAGTGGTTGCTGAGATATAAGCCTCGCAAAATCGTGACCACGGCCGGCCGGCCGGCCGCTCATACTCAGAAATTTCCGTAAGAAAGACTCCACTCGCTTCGCTCGCTCCGTAGCTAGTAATACTCATATACACACCTGGGTCTCTGGTCGAGATGGGTAGGTGAAATGGACGTCTCTCAGTTCAAGGTGTCCCACCGTTTTCTCAGGTTTCAGCCCCTCCTCGCTGTTGGCATCAATCTCAGATTCTCGCTCTGGAAAGGGAAAGACAGAATATGTTATGTGGGGTACTGGTTCATCTCTCTCTCTTTCTCTCTCTCTCTCTCTCTCTCTCTCTCTCTCTCTCTCTCTCTCTCTCTCTCTCTCTCTCTCTCTCTCTCTCTCTCTCTCTCTCTCTCTCTCTCTCTCTCTCTCTCTCTCTCTCTCTCTCTCCTCGCAAATTTAGGAGTTGGCCTCATAAAGCACTGCGTTAGCCAAAGAACTATAATTTTTCATTCAGGAGCGAAGTGCCAGAACAGTGACGATGTAGGCATAGCTAAGCCAATGTTGTCGCTCACAATAACAAATATTATAAATGACAGGGCAAACTTGTACGTGTACGTACGTGTACATTTGGCCACAGGAAATGCAGAAGGTAAGATGGTGCATTTGACTACCTTATCTATAGTGAGAACTTTTCTTGGTTCTTACCTCACAGAGAGTGACTGCGACATCACCTTGATGAACTCACAGAGATTGTGACCTAGTGTTCCTTGTCCTTACAGAACGTTCTATGACCCCACAGACATCGCCTCTAATGACCTGCAGAAGATATGACCTCGGCTCACTCACCAATGACCGAATAGACAGCTGCAGCGGCTCCACGAGCAGCAGAGAGCGCCTCCACATGAGGGGTAGCCTGGCCCAAGTTGGCTGCTCCGAGCACAATTCCGAAAAATATCTGAAATCGACGGACAGCGTTAGAAAAGATCGACACCAAAGAATAGCTGAACTGGGATTCAGACAAGTCATAGTGAATGGGCCATAGCTAGATAGCAAGAGCTCACAGAAGCTCCTTATACTAACTATTTGTCACAGCGAAACAAGAGCCAGTGCTATTCAATTCACGTTTCCTTTTAGTATGAATTGTTCAATTTTGATGCAAATCAATTCAATCAACTCAAATAAATCTGCCGCGCATGTGAGCTGATGTTCAGGCGGTAAGCATTTCATAGTTTTTTTTTTCTCAATTCCGTTCATTTTATTGCTGACCCCATATCCACATGGACCGCGCTGTCCAATCCAGACTGCTCATTCCACTTGACTTTAGACTCTGCTCCACCATCCACCCATCCCTCCACCCTCCACAATCCACCAATCCACTCTCTCCACCATCCACCGTCCACACTCCACCTATCCGTCACTACTCACAATGGTCAGCGTCCCAGCGTTGTAGACTGTAGAGGTCATCACCGGCGACCCGTGACTCAATCACAAGCTCTGTGCCGTACCAGAAAGCCAGCGAGAAGGAGGCTTTATGAGTGAGCCACACCAGGCCAACTCCGAGTGCAGTCACAGCGCTGCGGCGCAGCATGGCGGCTCGCGCGCCCTGGAGGTTCGCGGCGTACCTATGGAGACGGGAGGGTAGGTAACAGTAGGAAGCAGGGGTTAGCATAGTGGTAAAAAACGCAGATGAAGCGTTGGCACAGGTTAATTACTACGTTTCCATGGCACAAGTTAACCCGCGCACCGACGGGGGGGGGGGGGTCATCCGCCCCCCGTCGGTTCTAAGTTGGCGCAGACCCCTGCCGTTTCGCGGGTTAATCCGATTTTGCAAAATGGTCTTTCTTCATCATATCATTTAGTCATCATTTTAAATTGTAAGTATATGATTAGGTGCTAGCTATAAAGCCATATAAACGCTCATTTTTTCATAAGGTGAATAGTACCTATCAAAGAAAAACGCACGAAAAATTTCGTTAAATCTATTTAGACGTATCATGGAAACGTAATACATGATGGAACAGACCTGAGAAAGGGCCCGGGCGTAAGCAGAAAACCAGCATTTTTCTAAGAAGTTAAAACTGGTAAACATCAGTCTGATCTATGTATATATGTGTCCCGTTCTGACGTCAATGCCGCTATATCCCTCCACGACTAACCTCTCTGATTCCTTATTCTCGCCTCCAAAGGCCATCACTGTCTTGATGGCACCGATCACCTCTTCAGCCACTGAGCCTGCTGAACTGTAAGCTTGTGCCTCCTTCTGCGCGAAACTTGCTTGAAGCTGCGCACACACGGAAAAACGCACGGTTAGGCTGGCATATCTTTAGGAATTTCTGAGGGGTTGTGTAGAGTTGCGCATACCTACCTGAGAGAAAACATGGAGTCCGAATCATAAAGTTTTCATGTAGCGTTTAAAACAACAGTCAAGTAAAACAACAGTAAAACAAGTCCATTCAAGGCAAGTTTTTTTTCGGCTAATATAGTTCGTGTTAGCGAGCAAATACGTTGCTTTAGGTATTTTCGCAAAGACGGCCGGCGCTCGGAGCGCGGCGGTCGGTCCGTCGCGCCGCGCCGGGCACATATGTGTCATCTGGCCTCTGTCCTGGTTCTCATGCCCACGTGTTGTGTACCACGAGGGCTGAGACGGGACGGGGGCCCGACAGTCTTCAACGGGACTCCGCCGGTGCGCGACGGCCCGGTGTCATACGACGTGGCCGACGTGGCCTTACGTACGACGCGGCCGACGTGGCCCTACGATAACGATTCAGTGAACCGCATTTGTGACCGCCGTATTTTGTGCATTTTAACCCGCGCCCCAGTGGCGGTCTCAGCCAACTTCGCCCTAGTGGGGGGGGGGGGGGGGGGAGGGGAGCATATGTTACCACCCACCTCCAACTCAAAAACTAAGAGGGCTAGAAAGACGCGGTGGTAAATAGTAGTCGATAGCTCTCAATGCGTACGTTTGAAAGCATTTCAGTCATTTTTTCATCTTAGAGCAATATTGGGGTCACCAGAGGTCATAAAAGGTCAAAATTTGCCAATTGTCATTATATTTTTCAGAAACATGCCGTTATCTAAGGAGCTATGATAGCTAGAAAAACGCATGGAAGAGCAATCGATAGCTTTTGAACTCTTCTTTTGATAAGGTCATTATCAAAAATGACATCAGGTCAACGTTTCAGCTTCCAGAGGGCAAAACCCCCATAAATAGCTGTTTTTATGAAAAGTGGTTTTCGACAATAACTTTCGACTAAAAAAGGCCACGACATTTCTATTGCCAGAATCGTTTTCCTCTCGCCGAGACGAGTCGAAAGAACTTTAATTTGACCTTGAAAGGTCAACTTGAAAATTTGACCTTAGGTCAAGGTCATGACCTGACCGGAAAATGTCATGTTGCATATCAGTCGATGCGTCTCAACAAGACAAACACAATGAGGCCATCCCCAGCGTTCTATCTCTTTTCAATCGCGAGTTATTGGCAAAAATCTGTTTGTAGCCTCAAATGACCTCGGATGACCTTTCTACATAGAGGCTATAAAAAAGACACCTTGGTCATCACGGGTGGTCCAAATCATTGTGATTCTGAAATATTTGGACTGTTTCTATGCGTACACACGGATCTAGAGGCATTTTCATTTTTCTCTATTGACTTGTAATGGAAAGGTCACGCCACTGGCCTGACCTTAGGTCACGGATATAAACAATCTGAGATATACACCTTATAGGCGCCCATAACATCATGCAATCCACCAAGTTTAAAACCTCTCTGACAAACACTCCAGGCTGGACATGACTGCAAACTTTTTTAGGCTTCGTCAGTTAACTTGACCTGGTGACCTGACCTGACATGACCTGGGGTCAAAAATTTCACACATTGTCCAAAATTGATATACAAAAAGCTACTCCAAGCGAAGCGCCGCGGTTTTTTATCAATACATGAACGAACTATGCCGATCCGTCGAATTCACCTGCACTATTACTAAAACGTGTGCACTTCCGCCTAATTTGGGCTTAAAAAGGTGTAGTATAAAAAACGATAATACGTCTTTTATGTTTTTATGTTAAATTTTAGTTCATATAATAGTTATATGAATTTTTGTACCTAACAAATGCACAAATAATGTAAAATTTATATTATTTATAACCTTTACTACAACGATATTATGGAAAAACCCAAACCAGCAAAAAAAAAAACGCACGCAGAAAACTTATAGTGTAGTCAGGCCTTTAGATCTCATAGTAACTAATGCTGCCCAAAATTTGTTTATCAGCCTCATTGAACTATCCAGAACACATATGAACGCGCTGTTCCAATGGCTGAAACAAGCTCGTGTGATGGACCTACCTTGACCATAAATGCCTCGGTGATAATCACGATCGGAATGAAGCAGGCCATCGCTAAAGTCAGCTTCCACCCGCTAACAAACGCCAGACCGACGCCGAGGAAAAACGTCATGAAAAACACCATAATCATTCCAATCTTCTCCCCAATGCCATCCTCTATTTTCTTCAGATCGCTGAAAGCAGAAAAATCGACCCGATTAAGCTCAATGTGAAGGCTAATGCATGTGCAGTCATTTAAAATGTTGTAAACGGTCCTATTGACTTTTGGGTATGCATAAAGTAGGTATTGTTTATGTAGATAAGCATTGGTAATTACGATCTTTTCATATTGACTCTGGTTCAAATGATTACGGAATTTATTATATGAGCATATGTTTTTTAGTTGCATATAGGTACGAGAGAAGAAAGACCCATTACACTGTAGGCTGTGACCAAGTTGTACTGATTCGCTACCAAGTATGGAAAACATAGCCCGGTGAAGGACTGCTCCGGTTATTTTTCAATAGAAAAACACAATTCTAACGAATAGTGTTTGTCTAATGTAGAAACAACCTGCGGTTATCTATCGACTTTAATCACGAGACGCGTGGTAAAGATCAATACAGGTGCGGTACCCCAACAATGTCTTGTCAGAGAATGAGACATACGGCAGCAAGAGGGCTCACTGCCAAAGGGCACCAAGTGATAAATTTTACAACAAGGCCTACGATATATTGATATGGACGGCATGACTTGGCGCTTGCTTCTGGATAATAGCGGAAACAGATAAACAAACTGGCACTCAGCAGCACCAGCTGAGAGTATTGCAACTTCTTATCTGGCTAGAATTCTGACAGGATCAATGGAAACATGGAAACAGGCTTACTTTTAGTCGAAAAGGAACACTTCATAATTCCTTCGAATGGTAAGAGCGCGACCCGTTTTATTAGGACCCAGTCACCCAGCAATAAACAGCCTCTATAAAAACGTCACAAATATGACGTAAGAGCTAAAACTCTGACCTCAGAGGGGCTTCAATGGAGGCAGAATGCCAGTCATCTTTAAACTTTTTTTTTGTTTTTTGTTTTGTTGGGTTAGGCCCTTTCGGTCGACAAGACCATTGCAGAGGCGGAAGGATGATAGGATTTAGGGGGAGACATTGGTCTGGGCAGGCACCCTAGTGAGTCGCCGGGGCTGATCCCGTCCAGAGGACAGGCCACCTAGCCCCAAGGCACTCACTGCACCCGGCTACGGGGTGCGCTCCCTCGGGAGCAGCGGTGCCGCTCCAAGGGAGCAGCCCGCATGAGATAAAGTTGCCTGTCCAGCCCGGAAGGGGGTTGTGGCGTGGAGAAGAAGGATTTCAGTATCCTGAGGATAGAAGCACGGATAGGTGTGAGTCATCTTTAAACGTTTTTCTTTAAAAAATATGACCGGATAACTCACTCTGTGACTCGAGTAGTGAAGTTTCCCATTTGCTTGGTATCGTACCACGATATGTCTTGTCTCAATGCTGAACGGAAGAACTTCTGCTTCATACATCGTGACTGAGAAAAGAAACAACGCACGTGAATGGATATACAGCGTTCCAATACATACCTATAGTGCAAAAATCTAAAATCGAGCCCTACTGATCGAGAGAGAGAGAGAGAGAGAGAGAGAGAGAGAGAGAGAGAGAGAGAGAGAGAGAGAGAGAGAGAGAGAGAGAGAGAGAGAGAGAGAGAGAGAGAGAGAGAGAGAGAGAGAGAGAGAGAGAGAGAGAGAGAGAGAGAGAGAGAGAGAGAGAGAGAGAGAGAGAGAGAAGAGAGAAGAGAGAAGAGAGAAGAGAGAAGAGAGAAGAGAGAGAGAGAGAGAGAGAGAGAGAGAGAGAGAGAGAGAGAGAGAGAGAGAGAGAGAGAGAGAGAGAGAGAGAGAGACAGAGACAGAGAGAGAGAGAGAGAGAGAGAGACAGAGACAGAGACAGAGACAGAGACAGAGACAGAGACAGAGACAGAGACAGAGACAGAGACAGAGACAGAGACAGACAGATATGGGCAAAAGACAAAAGCCAGACACATATAGCTCAACAGACGGACGGACAGACAGACAGACAGACAGACAGACAGACAGACAGACAGCCACTGCTCCCTCACCTGTCTTGCCGCCGCGTAGTACAGACAGAACACAAATGACATAGTCGTGGCCATCTGCAGCGCCGATGTACCGAGAATACTGAACACAAACATGTCTATGGCATCACTGAGCTTCCTGGCAACAGAAAGAATGTGTCACAACAGAGCCCATGGCGACAAGCGGAATCATACCGGTTGATTACAAATTACGAATGCAGCAACGACAAGCTACCGGTGGCGGCTCGTATCTGTTTCGGGCAGGGATGCGGAGCCGTGGAACTTTCAGACGGCTCCGGCTCCGGCTCCGGCTCCGGAGAAAAAATCGACTCCGGCTCCGGCTCCGGCTCCGGGTGAAATGTTGTGGCGGCTCCGGCTCCGGCTCCGGCTCCGAGTAAAATGGTCCGGCTCCGGCGGCTCCGGCTCCGACTCAGTACATCCCCTATGCAATCAATTAAATACGGGTGGAAGAAAAATTGGATTGGTTATACGCGTTACTCTTTGCCATGACCGGCTCACCGCGTCCCCGTGCAAACGCACCTCGGATAGAACTGGCAGAACAAAGGACTAGGAAGCGATGGCATTGGAAACGCAGTCGCCGCGAATTGGAGTTCACTGAACCATCGTAAGCTGACACCAGTCTCGGCTGCATTGGGGGGTGGGAGTGGGGGGGAGGGGAAGAGACGGTGCTGGGAGTCGCAGTCCACTGCCACTGGCTTGAAAACAATGGCCGACACCTGATGACCGGTCCTCATGTTCTGGGGATGCAGTAGACGTGGGGGGGGGGGGGGCAGACAAGAAGTTGATTGCGTACTGTGGGATACTGGGGATATTCGGCTTTTTTCATTCACTTGATGGCCCATGACGTAAGTAAAGTACCATATGTTTTACTGCCTTGTACTGTCAAACCGAACTAGGTTAATTATTTTTTTTCCTCTTCAAAAAATAAAAAGGAGCCGGAGTCGCCCCCTTTTTTGGCGGCTCCGGCTCCGGCTCCGGCTCCGGGCTTATTGTTTCACGGCTCCGGCTCCGGCTCCGGCTCCGGGCAAAATATGTCGGCTCCGGCGGCTCCGGCTCCGACTCCGGCTCCGGCTCCGCATCCCTGGTTTCGGGTGTTTAAAATGAATAATCAGCGACCAGGTATCTGCTGCTCTTATTTGGATTTTGAATGGTACAAAATTTGCAGATTTCAAAACATGTTTAAAAACTCACGGAGTCCATTTATCGAATCTCAGATTTGCCACTCGTAATTACGGCCGTCAAACTCTAACACTGCAACAACAAATAGCTCTAACTTCCCAGCTCTAACTTCATCTACCAGCCTTCCATTCACTCCTTCTTACAAACTCCCACTAACTCCCGCAGCTTTCAATCCCCCAAACTCGCACTCACTCTGCACTCCCGTCGGCCGTCTGGTTGAGTCCAAACTCCGCCAAGGCCTCTGTGACGTTTCCAAACAAAGAAACAACTGCCGGCAGGGCCATGGACGACAGTACTGCTGCCAGGAGTCCGGCAGAGATGAGCCATCGATCCTTTCTGTCAGCGTACCGAAACAGCTGGCGAAAAGGCACCGGAGGCGGGCCCGACTCTTTGGCGGGCGCTGCTGGTGGCTCCTCAGTGCTGTGACGTCAGAGAGCAGTGGTGACGTCAGAGAGCAGTGGTGACGTCAGAGGGGAATGGTGACGTCAGAGAGGAGTGGTGACGTCAGAGGGGAATGGTGTGATAGCGCCGTTTGTTTGTGGTTGACGTTCGTCGGTTCTCGGACTTCTCCCCCCAGACGCAGAGTGTCTTTGAGAAGAGGTGCGCGCGCTCCAGAGCTCCGAGGTGAACTCGGCACCTCTGGTCCAGAGCCGAGGGTGTACGCAGCCAGGCCGAACCACTCGCTACCGGTTCAAACCAGTAATGAGTGTCCTCTGCCCTGATACGCCCACTCCAGTTCTTTTCCATCAGGCGTACCACCCGAGTGGGCGGCGGGCACCGCCCCATTTGATTTATTGTACAAAAATAACACTTTGTAATGTAATGTTCAATGTACATCAACTAAAGGGATTAATGTACATCAACAACTATAAAGGGATTAATAATGTACATGAACAGTTAAGCAGCGGCGCCCGGCGCTGGTGACGCATGCCGATGGTCTGGATACCTAGTGTTTGCACTATCACACCGCTTGGCCGAGCGCCGTTCGACACTGCACGGGTTCAGCTCCGGTCCCGGTCAGGTCGGGTCACGTCGGAGGAGCAGATAGGCGTACAAGTGTGATAAAATAAAATTTTAAACCGGCTAGACGTTACAATTGGTGACGTCAGAGAGTTGTATCGATCAGAAGAGTTAAACATTTTGTTTTTCTCACAGACAATGATAACACAATAACAAAATAAATAAGACCACATTTCGGACAACAAAGTTCCTTCGTCAGTGGAAAATAAGATATAGGCTTTACAATCGATAACATATAGATGACATTTATATTCCATAGACAACTATATTTTATCGATTGTAAAGCCTATATCTTATTTTCCACTAACGAAGGCACTTTGTTGTCCGAAACGTCTGGTCTTATTTATTTTGCTATTGTATTGTCATTGTCTGTGATAAAAACAAGGTGTATCGATGTTACAGTGCCACTGTTACAGCTACCACCGGGTGGTAGCAAACGATGGTGCTGACGCTTGCCAGCAAGGGGTGGTTGTATCTCAAGTGCTGACATTGACCAAGCCAAACCTATAGGCCAAAGATCCAAACATCTGTGTAAATCGGATGCTTACGGCAAACCAAAAAGGGATTGATTTAATAAATAATTCAACTATATACATTTGTCGCAGCGGCACAAAATCGTAAAATGGGAACGATAAATTGCTCTATGCCCAGATTTCGTCATGGTGAGAAAAGGCTCGCTGTTATTCGATATCGAAAAACAGCGTCTTACGCCGTTATCAAAATCAGAAACGTCCTTCCACCTAATCCTAAATTTAGAATCACAATCTAAAATTTGCAAACAAATACATGGTTTAAGGAACCTTACACTATCTAATGATCCAGTGAGCGATAAGTTTCGGTGACTGATAATGTTAGAACCAGCCAAAGGCGACCAGCCCAAAGCAATGGATTGTTCGATACTGTCGTCGGTTGCCATGACAACGGAATGACGATAACATAGAGAAAAACAAACGGCGGTCATGTCATGGACATTGGCTGCATGCTTTTATGTTCCACCTTTTATGTTACACGTTCCACTGTGATTGTAATAAAGTGTCTTCTCGTCACTTGATAGCATGACATGGACTTTGATCGTTAGCGAGCTGGAGACAGTTAACAATGTCTCTTACAAACGCGGCCACGTTAAAGAAATACATAAGGACGCGAAGGTTTAACAGTTGCAACCAAACTACATACCACAAACTGTGACCTAACTCCGAAAAATTTATTCAAGGAGAGAGGTTGGTAATTTGCTGGGGCATAAAAATATGTTTTTTACGCAAAACATTAGGAAAAAGTAGAAAAGGTAACTGCGGAAACTTCTTAAGAAACTCCAAAACTGCGATCGAGCCCAATAACCCACATGACAGCAAACTTAACTACTCGCACTCACCAAATTCCTCAACTCACTCACCTGAGTGTGGCCTCACTCATGGTGGCGAGTTTGCTCTGTTTCAGCTGGATCTCCGGAGTTTGGGTCCCCAAGTCAGAGTCGTCTTGCTCCTCAGGTACCGGTGCCATCGTGAGGTCGTTCCAGGAGTCGAGGCTCGACGTGGACCCTGGCGAATGGCACAAGTCAGAAACATTTATACCCCCCAAAACCCCCCTAATTATTGACTTAGAGCTACTAAATTTTTACAGGGGCGAGAACTCCTATGGACCCACCTACCCAGTATATTTGGCATTTCTAAGTGCCATAGGAGCCAATCGCCAGGGGGCGGGGGGGGGGTCGTACCACTCCCCCATCGCCGTCCGTGTTATGGAAAAGGCCCTCGCCTGGCAAGGGTTAATTAATCAGCAAATCTAGGAATTCATAACGAATTACTTACTTAACCTTCCAGGCGGTGCCTCTGGTGACTTGACTTTTGACCTGACCCAAAAAATGACCGAAGTGTTTTCGTCCTTATTTTGGACAATCTATCGATTGCCGCTTACCGCGTGTCGCTACGTGGCCCGAGGCCAGGATCGAGCCGAGTTAGAAGGGGTGGGTGTTCATTGTTCAGACACCCCTCGTCCCGGCGCAGAAGTCGCGAAGCACCGGCCCTAAAGGGCAGGGGCGTAGGCAGGGGGGGGGCCACTGGGCCATGGCCCCCCCCCCCTTGGGCGCCGAAGGCGCCCTTTGCGATTGGAGGGCGCCGAAGGCGCCCTCCAATCGCAAATGCAATTGTGATATAATCGAATCGAAAAACAATCGCGACTGGAGGGCGCCCTCCAATCGCGAATGTGTTTACAGGGAAAATACGGATGGAGGGCGCCCTCGGAGGACGCCCATTCCAAATACGCCCTCCAAATACGGTTGGAGGGCTCCCTCGGGCGCCCTCCAACCACATTTGTAGGCTGTAGCTCTCTAAGCGTAACGGTGGTCGCCTATGTAAGCCGCTGTCCTGTAAATAAGCGCCCTCTCACCCGAAGGCGCCCTCCTGTAGGTCGCCACCCTGCTACACATTGCCGCCCTTCTGCTGATCGGCGTCCTCATAATTATTGGCGCTCTTCTACCTATTGCGCCCTCATGTGAAATTTTGAAGGCCGCCTTTCTCCCTTTTGGCACCCTCTTGTTCAGTGCCGCCCTCCTACCTATTGGTTCCCTAGTCCTTCCTGTTGAATGCTAATCGGGGCCCTTCTCCTATTGGCGCCCTCGTGTTGATGTTGATCGCCGCCCTCCTAACCACTGGCACCCTCCTGTTGATCACCGCCCTCCTATCTACTGGCACCTTCCTGTTGACCAGCGCCCTCCGCACAGACGCCCTCCTGTTCGTGTCATCCTCTTGAGCAAAGGCGCCCTCCTCACCATTGCCACGCCCATTTTAATCGTCACCCTTCCGCTCATTGGCGACTTGCAGTTGATGACCGCCCTCCGACCTATTGGCGACCTCTTGTTGATCGCTGCACCCTCCTATTGGTGCTCTCCTGTTCCTCGCCACCCTCTTACCTGGTGGCGCCCTCCTGTGGATTGTTGATCGGGGCCCTCCTACCTATTGGTGCCCTCCTGTTGATCGCTGCCCTTCTATCCATTTGCGCCCTCCTGCTGCTCGCCAACTTCCTACCTATCGGTGCCCTACTGTCGAAACTCGGGATGTTGATCGGGGCTCTTCTACCTATTAGCGCCCTCCTGTGGATCGCAGCCCTTCTACCTATTGGCAACATCCGTTGATCGCTGCCCTCCTATCATTTATTTACTCCTTTGGCATGTTCTTCAACTTAGTCGTTCTATTGCACATAGTTGATGTCTTGCCTGTGAAAACTGCCACAAATGAACGTGCATTCAGCACAATGAATGAAGTACCTATACCTACCAAAACTATCTACGCTCTACGATGCATAAAACACGTCTTTGGTCTTAACGGATTGATCCTACTTTACCTGCATCATGGCATCTATATTCTATATGTATTACGATTAAGTATTGTCAACAGGTTCGGCCGCAACAGCAGGCATCTGAAGTTTCGGTGATTGAAACTGGTTATGTGGGTACACTGTATGCACCTGTGAGAAGGCTATGAAGGCTGGTCTGAGGTAATTTGGATGATGTTTACGCATCTCGCGCTCCGGTATCAATCCGATACGGTGATCTGGTGCGTAGATATGCCACCGCTAATAAACTTTTATACATCGACACCCATGAGCCAAGCTTTCTATACAGTTTGTGTGGCAGCGGCCCGACCAAACCTTAGGTATTTTTTATACCTTCAAATTTGGTAAAAGAGCGAGAGGAGCTTTGAACAGTGATCGTATAAAAGGCGTGCCTAAAAAGCGGAGGAAAAGGTTGTTTTCAAAAATTTCGCGCGCCTTCGGCGCAGCATTTCAAGACCACTCGACCTTTTGTGACCTGGAGTATAAAGAATACACACGATGCAAAATCAATGCAGCACGACCTATACGAGGTTACGCAAAAAAAAAAACTGGTGGCATGGTAAAAAACGCCTCCCAACCCCCCCCCCCCCGTTGAGTGATTTTTTATCTCGCGACCGTATGGCGCCCTCCTTGGGTGAGGTGGCGCCCTCCAAACCCTTGGCCCCCCCCTTCGCGATTTTCTAAATACGCCGCTGCTAAAGGGAGTGAGAGACGAAATAAAATATATCTTACTAGGTAGGTGTGGCTTAGGCCATGAGAAAATCATCTCTCGTTAATAGAATATAAGAAAAAAGGCATAAAATTTTATAAACTCTCGCCGGGCGAGGGGGGGGGGGGGTCGGGTGCCATAGGATTTTTTTTCGCGATAGCTTCGAACACGCTGGAGATAGAGAGCGGAAACTTGTAATACCTGACCTTTGATTCAAGTCGGATCTTTTGACACCAACCGCATTTTTGGGTCAGGTCAGGTCACTGACCTATGACGTCATAAGTGAACCTCTGCACGGTCTTCAGATGTCGCAACTTCGTAACGCCCTCACTGCCAAAGGATCTTTCACAGGGAAATGAAACTTGCAGGATCTAGTATCCATTACGAGTTTCACAACTTGTATATCTCGGATTTTTCCTAAAGGTCATATGAGGTCAGGTCATGTTCGTGACCTCACCATTATAAGTCAATGGGGAAAAATAAAAACTGCTATATTAGCGCCGGAAACGATCTCCAGCTATCTCAAGCACAGCATCGTGATTTGATGCACTCCTTGCAGGGTAAGATGCGTCACTTTTGCAATGTTGACCCCTTGCGTGACGTCATTTATGACGTCATCAAGGTCATATTAGCTTTTCGTCAATAACTCCCGATCAAATTAAGCTAGCGAGTCGGGAAAGTCACCAATGGACTCAGAAAGACCTGCCGAATCGAATGATTTGCGACATAACCTCTTTTGACCAACTTTGTGACCTGGGGGCGCTGACCTGACCGTGACCTGAGGTCAACACCCTAAGTTGACCTGACCCAAACAAAAAGTACATCATTCGACGCGCCTGAGCGAGGCAAACACGATGCTGCCAAAATCGCTGCTCTGCGGCCGTTTTTTGCGAAGTTATTCACCAAAAACTGAACCGTACATAACTTGGGGCACTTGACCTGGCCTCAGGGGTCACCGATTGGCCTAGGACCTTAAAATCGGGTACCAATCTCTGCGTCTCGTAACGGCACACACGCTCGTTTTTTTTTCGCGACGCGCTAGTTCCACCAGGGGAGAAACGGCGAGGGGGGGGTCGTACCCGCCCCCCCTCTGCCGGCGCGTATGTAGAAATCCAATAGGTCCGGCGAGGGTTAAGCGCAAACGTTGCTAACCCGCGCACCACTGGGGTTTGCGTATAACACGCCCTACTGGGGGGGGGGGGGGGGTATTCATAGCCCCCCTCCTAACTCCGAAACTACTCGGCCGATCGTCAAAATTCAAACGGGTCTGATAGCCCCGGAAAAACTGCCGAGCGAAACCTAATTTCATTGACCTCGAGGTCACCGATGACGTCACAGGTCAGGTCAAAATAAAAATTATTAGCATTTTGGCTTGTTCACGTTTTGGGCTCTGGCCGCCGTCTTACAAGTCAGACCAGGCTCATTTTTGGTTCACACACTCGTGAACAGATGGTCTAGATACCCTGAGGGTACCAAACTTGTACTTTGATTTTCAGGTCAAGGTCAGGTCATCACAGTTCACGAAAATATTATATCATGCGTCGGTCACGTTACACATGTTTTATGGTCCATTTAGGCCAAAGATTTCGAATGTGATGTCGTCTGTGTCATTCGAGGTCATTTTGAGTCGAATTTAGCTTAGGTCAGGTCACTTTCAGGTCAAAAAATGTCAAATTTTGAAGTTGTAATTTTTCAACAGAAAAGGTGTCTATTGGATGCAGTTTGAGCTCAGGAACACGAAAGTGCTATTTATATTGGCGTACAATGTCAAATACGTGGTGAAAAATTGATTTGAAAAATTAATAATTGTGAATTTTTTGCAATAATGCGTATAACTTGGCCATTTTGGAAGATATTTAGCTAAAACTTGCTAGAGGTAGTCATATTAACGCGTTCTATCACATGTATTCCGTTTTTTTTTTCGAAAAGTTAAAAACTTTTTGAAAAAATGTAAAAATGTAAATGTTGAATTTTATCCGAACATGACGTCTTTCTGACGTCATTTCCGGCCGACCTATGGTAGCTACGAAGTACAAATTTTGACACAAGGTGTCAAATTGATGCAGCCGAAGGTAATGAAAGTTTGGCGTCGATACGTCAAGCGATTTGGAAGTTATTGCAGAAAAACGGGAGGGGGGGGGGCTATGAATAGCCCCCCCCCCGTGGGGCGCGGGTTAATTCTCACCTAGCTAAACCGTGGTCAACGTCAGGAGGTCACACTCAACGGCCAACGCAATAATTGCCCGCTTCTCGTTCAGCGTGGGGAAACAGACTGAGCCACTTCGGCGGTATGTGTTCCGGCGTAGCCTCAAGCCAGGCTGACACTCGATTGATTTTGACCCAGCAGGGCGCGTATGGCTGAATAGCCCAGCGGGGAGCGGGTTAAGAATGAGCCGGGGGTTTTAGAGATTGGACGGAATGTGCAAGATTCACAAACCGTCTACGAAGTGGGGCTCCCCGTCCGGCGAATAGTAGGTACATGCATCGAGTGCCTTTTTT